AATACATTCAAATAGCCCATCAACTGCAACAGACATATTTTCAACAATTTTAAATTTTAAGTTCTTGTTTACATAAATAGCCACACCTCCTCCTGTTTTGTTTTTCCTATTTCTATAATTGAGTTCATAGCCTTCAAAGTAAAAATCTGTCCCTTTTTCATTGTTCATCCATGTTTCTGATAGTGTTATGATGCTAAAAGGCACTCTAAATGTATCAAGATATTCCTTGATGCTACTAAAGTTTTTGTACATGCTCCTACTGTTGAAATGTATAATCGATAAGTCATTCAATGTGGCCATAGAGTTATAATCATCATCAGAATAATATTTACAATTCACATTTACATTAGAAAAAAAAGTGCTGTCTGGATCCATGTCTTTCTCTGGGTCATAGTCCCCATGCTCTGTTGGATCAAATGTATTTAATCCCAACACATTGTCCAGGACTCTGTCTCTTAACTGCTGATGTTCAGTTGTGGTTTTGTTGTTGTGAGTCATAAGAATGAGTGGTTGTTACCTTGATGTCGCATCAATCAAACTTATCCAGATCTTCCAGAGTCTTGACCACAATAATTCTGGCTTCCTCTGGTGACCCGTTTAGCTTGATGTAGATATTACAGTTCCGGACCCATGTGTGTTGGATTTTGTTTTGTTTTCTCATAAATCTGGCTCTTCGTGCGATTTCAGCATTCCTCCGCGTCAAGTGATCGTTCATAAAAACATTTGATCCTTTCAGCTTCCTTCCTTGCTTCAGCAGCTCAACTTTTTTCTTTCGGTTGACAAACCGCATGATCACCACTGGCATCGCGTTATCCCTTCTTCGAGGGAGAGGGTGACAAGCCTCTATGCCTTCCAAATCCAGAGAGATGCCCCTGGACTGGAGGAACGCTGCGACCTGTTGTTCAGCGGAGTCAGCCTCCTGCTCCTCTGCCTCTGACCCGCCGCTGGCCGCCACTGCCCTCGCGTATGACCTGGGTTTGATTTTCAGACCTGTGATGACAACATCATTCACCCTCGAGTACTGTTCCAAGTCATCAATTCTTCTTTCCAGGTCTGCAATCTTCTTGTCTTTTTCGGTGTTTAAAATTCTCAGCTGTTTCACCTCCTCCATCAGCTGTAGAATCCGGTTTTGCTGCTCCTTGATCACTGTGGTCTCCTCCGTCAGAGTAATGAGTGTTTTACGAATGTCTCCGACATCTTCATCAGTTTTTGTTTGCTTTTGTATAGCAGCCACAGCCTCCGTGAGTGAGTCTATTGACCTCCTCAGCTCCTCCATGTCCTCCGTTGCGGCTTTTTTTCCTCTTGCCATTTCTTGTTGCGTGTGGCAGACTCGGCAGACTCGATAAGTTGTTAGCTTTAGCTAGCTGGTATGCTAAAACTTGGGCACCGCTCCGCTCGCGCAGATACGAGCCTTCCCTTTTCAGCTTCCAGGTTCCAAACAGTTCCGTGGTATATACAAGTGTCAATATTCACACATAAATCCATCAAAAAAGTCCATAATCATGAGTTTATCCACTTGTTCGTGTGAGTCAACTGAGAGCACAGACCGCGCGTGCAACCACATCCCGGAGTCTAGAGACCAAGATACCATGGTCCACCGTGTCGAAGGCAGACGACAGGTCATCTGTCACCTCCAGTCTCTCTCCCTAAAACCTTCAAACAAGGTCAGAAATCTAGGGGTAATACTGGACTCAGACTTAAATTTTAATAGCCACATCAAATCAGTAACATCAGCAGCTTTTTACCATCTAAAAAACATTGCCAGGATCAAAAACATAGTGTCTAAAGCAGACCTGGAGATTCTTATCCATGCATTTGTCTCCAGTAGGTTAGACTACTGCAATGGCCTGCTCACAGGTCTGTCCAAACAGGCTGTAAAACAGCTGCAGTGCATTCAAAATGCAGCAGCTCCAGTCCTGACTAGAACCAGGAAGTACGACCACATTAGTCCTGACTAGAACCAGGAAGTACGACCGCATTAGTCCTGACTAGAACCAGGAAGTACGACCACATTAGTCCTGACTAGAACCAGGAAGTACGACCACATTAGTCCAGTCCTCAGGTCTCTGCACTGGCTTCCTGTGGCTCAGAGAATAGACTTTAAAACAGCTCTGCTTGTTACAAGTCTCTCCATGGCCTCGCACCAAAATATATTAGTGACATGTTAGTCCCATATGAACCAGCCCGGACTCTGAGGAGCACAGGGACTGGACTCCTGCTGGGACTCTGAGGAGCACAGGGACTGGACTCCTGCTGGGACTCTGAGGAGCACAGGGACTGGACTCCTGCTGGGACTCTGAGGAGCACAGGGACTGGACTCCTGCTGGGACTCTGAGGAGCACAGGGACTGGACTCCTGCTGGGACTCTGAGGAGCACAGGGACTGGCCTCCTGCTGGGACTCTGAGGAGCACAGGGACTGGCCTCCAGCTGGGACTCTGAGGAGCACAGGGACTGGACTCCTGCTGGGACTCTGAGGAGCACAGGGACTGGACTCCTGCTGGGACTCTGAGGAGCACAGGGACTGGACTCCTGCTGGGACTCTGAGGAGCACAGGGACTGGCCTCCTGCTGGGACTCTGAGGAGCACAGGGACTGGACTCCTGCTGGGACTCTGAGGAGCACAGGGACTGGACTCCTGCTGGGACTCTGAGGAGCACAGGGACTGGACTCCTGCTGGGACTCTGAGGAGCACAGGGACTGGACTCCTGCTGGGACTCTGAGGAGCACAGGGACTGGCCTCCAGCTGGGACTCTGAGGAGCACAGGGACTGGACTCCTGTTAGTGCCAGAGTCAGAACTAAACATGGGGAGGCTGCTTTTCAGATTCATGCTGCTAAAATCTGGAACAGTCTTCCTGAAGATGTGAGACAGGCCTCCTCTCTGACAATGTTTAAAACCAGGTTAAAGACAGTTCTGTTTAGCTGTGCTACAACTGAGGGATTTTATATTTTTATCTTTCTTTTTAATGTTCTGTGATTATTTATGATTTTAATGCTTTCTTGTTTTGTTCAGCACTTTGAGTTGCCTTGTGTATGAATTGTGCTATATAAATAAACTTGCCTTGCCTTGCCTTGCCTAGAGTAGAGTCAGGTAGGGTAGGGTAGGGTAGGGTAGAGTAGGGTAGGGTAGGGTAGAGAAGAGTAGGGTAGAGTCGAGTAGGGTAGAGTAGGGTATGGTAGGGTAGAGTAGGGTAGGGTAGAGTAGGGTAGAGTAGAGTAGAGTAGGGTAGAGTAGGGTAGGGTAGAGTAGAGTAGGGTAGAGTAGGGTAAAGTATGGTAGGGTAGAGTAGGGTAGAGTAGAGTAGAGTAGAGTAGGGTAGAGTAGGGTAGGGTAGAGTAGGGTAGGGTAGGGTAGGGTAGAGTAGAGTAGGGTAGGGTAGGGTAGAGAAGAGTAGGGTAGAGTCGGGTAGGGTAGAGTAGGGTATGGTAGAGTAGAGTAGGGTAGAGTAGAGTAGAGTAGGGTAGAGTAGGGTAGGGTAGAGTAGAGTAGGGTAGAGTAGGGTAAAGTATGGTAGGGTAGAGTAGGGTAGAGTAGAGTAGAGTAGGGTAGGGTAGAGTAGAGTAGGGTAGAGTGGAGTAGGGTAGAGTAGGGTAGGGTAGAGTAGAGTAGGGTAGAGTAGAGTAGAGTAGGGTAGAGTAGGGTAGGGTAGAGAAGAGTAGGGTAGAGTCGGGTAGGGTAGAGTAGGGTATGGTAGGGTAGAGTAGGGTAGGGTAGAGTAGGGTAGAGTAGAGTAGAGTAGGGTAGAGTAGGGTAGGGTAGAGTAGAGTAGAGTAGGGTAAAGTATGGTAGGGTAGAGTAGGGTAGAGTAGAGTAGAGTAGGGTAGAGTAGGGTAGGGTAGAGTAGAGTAGGGTAGAGTAGAGTAGAGTAGGGTAGAGTAGGGTAGGGTAGAGTAGAGTAGGGTAGAGTAGGGTAAAGTATGGTAGGGTAGAGTAGGGTAGAGTAGAGTAGAGTAGGGTAGAGTAGGGTAGGGTAGGGTATAGTAGGGTAGAGTAGAGTAGAGTAGGGTAGAGTAGGGTAGGGTAGAGTAGAGTAGGGTAGAGTAGGGTAAAGTATGGTAGGGTAGAGTAGAGTAGAGTAGAGTAGAGTAGGGTAGAGTAGGGTAGGGTAGAGTAGAGTAGGGTAGAGTAGGGTAAAGTATGGTAGGGTAGAGTAGGGTAGAGTAGAGTAGAGTAGGGTAAAGTATGGTAGGGTAGAGTAGTGTAGAGTAGGGTAGGGTAGAGTAGAGTAGGGTAGGGTAGGGTAGGGTAGAGTAGAGTAGGGTAGAGTAGGGTAGAGTAGAGTAGGGTAGGGTAGGGTAGGTTAGAGTAGAGTAGGGTAGGGTAGAGTAGGGTAGAGTAGAGTAGGGTAGAGTAGAGTAAGGTAGAGTAGGGTAGGGTAGAGTAGAGTAGGGTAGGGTAGAGTAGGGTAGGGTAGAGTAGGGTAGGGTAGGGTAGGGTAGAGTAGGGTAGGGTAGAGTAGGATAGAGTAGAGTAGGGTAGGGTAGAGTAGGGTAGGGTAGGGTAGGGTAGAGTAGGGTAGGGTAGGGTAGGGTAGAGTAGGGTAGAGTAGGGTAGGGTAGGGTAGAGTAGAGTACAGTGCAGTAGAGACTGATGTCCTCCCCTCTCTCTGAGGGTTCAGCAGCTCTACTCCGAGCTCTCTGAGGAACCAGACTTGAACTCGATTTCAAATAAAAACTCAGTAGTATTTAAAGTTCAGAAACATGTTTTTCTTGAAAAAAGAAAAAAGACATAAAAAGGAAAAAAATAAAAACAAATGAAAGATTATTGTTAAAATGATGAAAGTGGATCGCTTTAAGAAAGAAAAACACATAAAGTGATGTCACATGTTTCTGTGAACTCCAATCCAGTCCGGGCCAGACCTCTCAGACTTCAGACTGTGGCAGGCCCTCCTGTTGCCGCGGTAACGGAGCAGCCCTGGTGCTCGTTATGGTGCCCTCTGGTGGTTGTGTGTGGTACAGTCCGTGCTCTGGCAGCTGTGGCTGTGGCGGCCTGTAGCGGCTGTTAGCGGAGCGGGGGTCCATTGTGAACGGGAGAGGCTGCTTCGGTCGCTCCTCCTCTTGGTTCTCCTTCTTCAGGTTCCTCCTGGTTTTTCTCCTCCTGGGTCTCCTCCTCCACGTTCTCCTCGTTCTCCTCCTCTAGAGTCGACTCAAACTGGAACTTGTCAGCTGCTGTCGAGGAGGTGGAACCTGAGACAGAGAAGATGTTTTATACTGTATAAACACAGACTGTGGGTCTGAGACCAGAGAGAGACCAGAGAGACCAGAGACAGACCAGGGAGAGACCAGAGACAGACCAGGGAGAGACCAGAGAGTGACCAGAGAGAGACCAGAGAGTGACCAGAGAGATACCAGAGAGACCAGAGACAGACCAGGGAGAGACCAGAGAGAGACCAGAGAGAGACCAGAGAGATACCAGAGAGACCAGAGACAGACCAGGGAGAGACCAGAGACAGACCAGGGAGAGACCAGAGAGTGACCAGAGAGAGACCAGAGAGTGACCAGAGAGAGACCAGAGAGTGACCAGAGAGAGACCAGGGAGAGACCAGAGAGTGACCAGAGAGAGACCAGAGAGAGACCAGAGAGAGACCAGAGAGAGACCAGAGAGAGACCAAAGAGAGACCAGAGAGTGACCAGAGAGAGACCAGAGAGAGACCAGAGAGAGACCAGAGAGAGACCAGACAGAGACCAGAGAGAGACCAGAGAGAGACCAGACAGAGACCAGAGAGAGACCAGAGAGAGACCAGAGAAAGAGTCTGACCTGTAGTGGGTGTGGTCTGACCTGGCAGGGGGAGGAGGGGGCTGGTGGGGGCGGGGCTTGTCGGGATCATGCTCTGGTACCAGTGGCGGTTGTCCTCCAGCGTGTCCAGGACGTCCTGAGCGTCAGGGTGCACCAGGTCGGCCCAGGCCTCCCAAAGAGGATGCACTATGTAGTCAATGAACCCCACCTACAGGTGTCATGCAGGGAGGAATGGGCAAAAATACACACACAGAAATACAACAATTCTGCAGATGTGTCATGGTAGTTCTCTCATGTCATTTACAAACCAGAGAGAGGCCAGTGAGAGACCAGAGAGAGACCAGAGAGAGAGACCAGAGAGAGACCAGAGAGAGACCAGAGAGAGAGACCAGAGAGAGACCAGAGAGACCAGAGAGAGACCAGAGAGAGCCCAGAGAGAGAGACCAGAGAGAGACCAGAGAGGGACCAGAGAGAGACCAGAGAGAGACCTGAGAGAGAGACCAGAGAGAGACCAGAGATAGACCAAAGAGAGACCAGAGAGAGACCAGAGAACGACCAGAGAGGCCAGAGAGAGACCAGAGAGAGACCAGAGAGAGACCAAAGAGAGACCAGAGAGGCCAGAGAGAGACCAGGGAGAGACCAGAGATAGACCAAAGAGAGACCAGAGAGAGACCAAAGAGAGACCAGAGAGAGACCAGAGATAGACCAAAGAGAGACCAGAGAGAGACCAGAGAACGACCAGAGAGAGCCCAGAGAGAGAGACCAGAGAGAGACCAGAGAGAGGCCAGAGAGAGACCAGAGAGAGACCAGAGAGAGACCAGAGTGAGAGACCAGAGAGAGACCAGAGAGCGAGAGAGACCAGAGAGAGAGACCAGAGAGAGACCAGAGAGACCAGAGAGAGACCAGAGTTAGAGACCAGAGAGAGACCAGAGAGAGACCAGAGAGAGAGACCAGAGAGAGAGACCAGAGAGAGACCAGAGAGCGAGAGAGACCAGAGAGAGAGACCAGAGAGAGAGACCAGAGAGAGACCAGAGAGAGACCAGAGAGAGACCAGAGAGAGACCAGAGTTAGAGACCAGAGAGAGACCAGAGAGAGACCAGAGAGAGAGATCAGAGAGACCAGAGAGAGACCAGAGAGAGACCAGAGTTAGAGACCAGAGAGAGACCAGAGAGAGACCAGAAAGTGTGTGTGTCTCTGTGTCTGTCTCTCTCTCTCGGTGTATGTCTGGGTGTGTGTTTTTGTGTGTACCCGTGTGTGTGTACCTGTGTGTACTTGTGTGTGTACCTGTGTGTGTGTGTACCTGTGTGTACATGTTTGTGTGTACCTGTGTGTACCTGTGTGTACCTGTGAGTACCTGTGTGTACCTGTGAGTACCTGGTTCCTCTCCACAGATGCAGTCTCTCTGTCACACATGGGGCTGAGTTGGAGACCCGCCTCTCTCTCTCTGTCGCCCTGAGAGAAGAACTCGTCTGTGATTCGCTGCGTCCACTGTCGGTACAACTGCAGCGGCTTCGTCGGGTTGGACAGGTCTGCACAGTGTAGCATGTTCTGGAGGACCTGAGGAGACCAGAGTGAGCCCGAGGAGGGACCAGTGTGAGACTAGAGTGAGCCCGAGGAGGGTTAGACAGGTCTGCACAGTGTAGCATGTTCTGGAGGACCTGAGGAGACCAGAGTGAGCCCGAGGAGGGACCAGAGTGAGACTGAGGAGGGATCAGAGTGAGACTGAGGAGGGAGCAGACGGAGCCCTACGCCAAAGAATCACTGAAATAAATATAGATCAAATAAAATACATTTCAAACGGTTTCAAACGGACGAAATGTTTGATCGACACGAACATGAAAAGAGAATTTAACTTTTAAATAACAAGTTTGCAAGTGCTTCTGGGTAGCATTAGTCCTGTAGCATTTGAAATTGCCGTTGACGATGGGACTGGGCGTCTCCATCGTGCTCTCCGCGGTGTGGAGCTGGGTACCGGGAGCCGACGTAGGAGGCGCAGACACCGGGGAAAACGAGGCGGTCTGCTCGTGAGATGCCGCTCCTGCAGGACCGCTCTGCCCTCCATCTACCTGGCGAATGTACAGTCTCTGCCCAATAAGACGGACGAGCTCCTGTGTCGGGTCCAGAGCCAGCGCGAGGCCCGGGACTGCGCTGTGTTCTGCCTCAGCGAGACGTGGCTCCACACCGGCGTCCCGGACTCTGCTGTTCAGCCCCCGGGATTCACCGCTCACCGCTCGGACAGAGATAAGGAGACCACGGGCAAGGCCAGAGGCGGAGGTGTTTTTAATTAATCAGCGCTGGTGCACGGACACTCGCATCGTGAACCAAACATGTACTGCCAATCTGGAATGCCTGGTCTTGAGCTGTCGCCCTTTTTATCTTCCCCGTGAGTTTTCAGTGATATTTTTATGCGCTGTTTACATCCACCCACGAGCGGATTATACTGTAGCACTACAGGATCTGAGCGAGATCCTTCATAAATACGAGACTGCTCATCCTAATGCAGTGATCATTGTCGCTGGGGATTTTAACAAATGTAATTTAAAGACTGTACTCCCAAATTTCTACCAACATGTGACTCGAGCTACAAGAGGAGCACAGATCCTGGATCCACCGAGACTACTGCAGTATCCACCGAGACTACTGCAGTATCCACCAAGACTACTGCAGTATCCACAGAGACTACTGCAGTATCCACCGAAACTACTGCAGTATCCACCGAGACTACTGCAGTATCCACAGAGACTACTGCAGTATCCACAGAGACTACTGCAGAGACTACTGCAGTATCCACCGAGACTACTGCAGTATCCACCGAGACTACTGCAGTATCTACCGAGACTACTGCAGTATACTGCAGTATCCACAGAGACTACTGCAGTAGTACCCACCGAGACTACTAAAGTACCCACAGAGACTACTGCAGTATCCACCGAGACTACTGCAGTATCCACCTAAACTACTGCAGTATCCACCGAGAGGCTCTGGACTACTGCAGTATCTACAGAGACTACTGCAGTATCCACCGAAACTACTGCAGTATCCACAGAGACTACTGCAGTATCCACCGAGACTACTGCAGTATCCACAGAGACTACTGCAGTATCCACCGAGACTACTGCAGTATCCACCGAGACTACTGCAGTATCCACAGAGACTACTGCAGTATCCACCAAGACTACTGCAGTATCCACAGAGACTACTGCAGTATCCACAGAGACTACTGCAGTATCCACCGAGACTACTGCAGTATCCACCGAGACTACTAAAGTATCCACCGAGACTACTGCAGTATCCACAGAGACTACTGCAGTCTCCACCGAGAGGCTCTGGACTACTGCAGCATCCAACTCTTGCTTCAAACTGAAGTAATATGAATACTTTTGGAATTGCGTAGAGGTCCAGATGTTCAGGACACACATCTCTGAGGTGCTGCGGCTCTGACACTTGATGCAGAGACTGATGTCTGTGAGCAGGACTGATGCAGAGACTGATGTCTGTGAGCAGGACTGATGCAGAGACTGATGTCTGTGAGGAGGACTGATGCAGAGACTGATGTCTGTGAGCAGGACTGATGCAGAGACTGATGTCTGTGAGCAGGACTGATGCAGAGACTGATGTCTGTGAGCAGGACTGATGCAGAGACTGATGTCTGTGAGCAGGACTGATGCAGAGACTGATGTCTGTGAGCAGGACTGATGCAGAGACTGATGTCTGTGAGCAGGACTGATGCAGAGACTGATGTCTGTGAGCAGGACTGATGCAGAGACTGATGTCTGTGAGGAGGACTGATGCAGAGACTGATGTCTGTGAGCAGGACTGATGCAGAGACTGATGTCTGTGAGCAGGACTGATGCAGAGACTGATGTCTGTGAGCAGGACTGATGCAGAGACTGATGTCTGTGAGCAGGACTGATGCAGAGACTGATGTCTGTGAGCAGGACTGATGCAGAGACTGATGTCTGTGAGCAGGACTGATGCAGAGACTGATGTCTGTGTGAGCAGGACTGATGCAGAGACTGATGTCTGTGAGCAGGACTGATGCAGAGACTGATGTCTGTGAGGAGGACTGATGCAGAGACTGATGTCTGTGAGGAGGACTGATGCAGAGACTGATGTCTGTGAGGAGGACTGATGCAGAGACTGATGTCTGTGAGCAGGACTGATGCAGAGACTGATGTCTGTGAGCAGGACTGATGCAGAGACTGATGTCTGTGAGCAGGACTGATGCAGAGACTGATGTCTGTGAGCAGGACTGATGCAGAGACTGATGTCTGTGAGCAGGACTGATGCAGAGACTGATGTCTGTGAGCAGGACTGATGCAGAGACTGATGTCTGTGAGCAGGACTGATGCAGAGACTGATGTCTGTGAGCAGGACTGATGCAGAGACTGATGTCTGTGAGCAGGACTGATGCAGAGACTGATGTCTGTGAGCAGGACTGATGCAGAGACTGATGTCTGTGAGCAGGACTGATGCAGAGACTGATGTCTGTGAGCAGGACTGATGCAGAGACTGATGTCTGTGAGCAGGACTGATGCAGAGACTGATGTCTGTGAGCAGGACTGATGCAGAGACTGATGTCTGTGAGCAGGACTGATGCAGAGACTCTGATGTTTCAGTGATAATGACCTGATGATGGAGTCAGGGAGAACATCTGCACACCTCGCCTCACACCTCACACCTCGCCTCACACCTCGCCTTACACCTTGCCTCACACCTCACACCTCGCCTCACAACTCACACCTCGCCTCACACCTCACACCTCGCCTCACACCTCGCCTCACACCTCGCCTCACACCTCACACCTCACACCTCACACCTCGCCTCACACCTCGCCTCACACCTCACACCTCGCCTCACACCTCACCTCACACCTCGCCTCACACCTTACACCTCGCCTCACACCTCGCCTCACACCTCACACCTCGCCTCACACCTCGCCTCACACCTCACACCTCGCCTCACACCTCACACTCCTCGCCTCACACCTCACACCTCACCTCACACCTCGCCTCACACCTCACACCTCGCCTCACACCTCACACCTCGCCTCACACCTCACACCTCACACCTCGCCTCACACCTCACACCTCGCCTCACACCTCGCCTCACACCTCACACCTCGCCTCACACCTCACACCTCGCCTCACACCTCGCCTCACACCTTACACCTCGCCTCACACCTCACACCTCGCCTCACACCTTGCCTCACACCTCGCCTCACACCTCGCCTCACACCTCACACCTCACACCTCGCCTCACACCTCACACCTCGCCTTACACCTCGCCTCACACCTCACACCTCGCCTCACAACTCACACCTCGCCTCACACCTCACACCTCGCCTCACACCTCGCCTCACACCTCGCCTCACACCTCACACCTCACACCTCGCCTCACACCTCGCCTCACACCTCGCCTCACACCTTACACCTCGCCTCACACCTCGCCTCACACCTCACACCTCGCCTCACACCTCGCCTCACACCTCACACCTCGCCTCACACCTCGCCTCACACCTCACACCTCGCCTCACACCTCACACCTCACACCTCGCCTCACACCTCGCCTCACACCTCACACCTCGCCTCACACCTCACACCTCGCCTCACACCTCACACCTCGCCTCACACCTCGCCTCACACCTCGCCTCACACCTCACACCTCGCCTCACACCTCACACCTCGCCTCACACCTCACACCTCGCCTCACACCTCACACCTCGCCTCACACCTCACACCTCGCCTCACACCTTACACCTCGCCTCACACCTCACACCTCGCCTCACACCTCACACCTCGCCTTACACCTCGCCTCACACCTCACACCTCGCCTCACACCTCGCCTCACACCTCGCCTCACACCTCGCCTCACACCTCACACCTCACACCTTGCCTCACACCTCGCCTCACACCTCGCCTCACACCTTACACCTCGCCTCACACCTCGCCTCACACCTCGCCTCACACCTCGCCTCACACCTCGCCTCACACCTCACACCTCGCCTCACACCTCGCCTCACACCTCACACCTCGCCTCACACCTACACTCACCTCACACCTCGCCTCACACCTCGCCTCACACCTCGCCTCACACCTCGCCTCACACCTCGCCTCACACCTCACACCTCGCCTCACACCTCGCCTCACACCTCACACCTCGCCTCACACCTCGCCTCACACCTTACACCTCGCCTCACACCTCACACCTCGCCTCACACCTCGCCTCACACCTCACACCTCGCCTCACACCTCGCCTCACACCTTGCCTCACACCTCACACCTCGCCTCACACCTCGCCTTACACCTCACACCTCGCCTCACACCTCGCCTCACACCTAACACCTCGCCTCACACCTCACACCTCGCCTCACACCTCACACCTCGCCTCACACCTCGCCTCGCACCTCACACCTTGCCTCACACCTCGCCTCACACCTCGCCTCACACCTCACACCTCGCCTCGCACCTCACACCTCGCCTCAGGATTTCTTCACTCTCACTTTCACCTTGCCTTGTTGCCACCACCAGTGTTTAGGCCCCGGGGGATCATGATCTGCCCCAGGCACAGATCTCTTCAGAGCACGGCCACAGCCGGGGCCTAAGCTCCAAACCAATAAACAAACTCAATCCATAAAATAAACAACTCTTAAACGCATCTTGTCTCTTGTAGTCTCTCCAGGTTGAATGACTCATATGTGCTCTTGTCATTCCAGGGGATGTTTGGGGGGGGGGGGACTTTGGGAACCCCTGTTCTGGAGAACCTGAGGGAGACCAGAGTGAGCCTCAGCCTCAGTCCTTGGTCCATAGCCTCAATCCTGTGTCTACAGCCTCAGTCCTTGGTCCACAGCCTCAGTCCTGGGTCTACAGCCTCAGTCCTGGGTCTACAGCCTCAGTCCTGGGTCTACAGCCTCAGTCCTGGGTCTACAGCCTCAGTCCTGGGTCTACAGCCTCAGTCCTGGGTCTACAGCCTCAGTCCTGGGTCTACAGCCTCAGTCCTGGGTCTACAGCCTCAGTCCTGGGTCTACAGCCTCAGTCCTGGGTCCACAGCCTCAGTCCTGGGTCTGCAGCCTCAGTCCTGGGTCTACAGCCTCAGTCCTGGGTCTACAGCCTCAGTCCTGGGTCTACAGCCTCAGTCCTGGGTCTACAGCCTCAGTCCTGGGTCTACAGCCTCAGTCCTTGGTCCACAGCCTCAGTCCTGGGTCTACAGCCTCAGTCCTGGGTCTACAGCCTCAGTCCTGGGTCTACAGCCTCAGTCCTGGGTCTACAGCCTCAGTCCTGGGTCTACAGCCTTAGTCCTTGGTCCACAGCCTCAGTCCTGGGTCTACAGCCTCAGTCCTGGGTCTACAGCCTCAGTCCTTGGTCCACAGCCTCAGTCCTGGGTCTACAGCCTCAGTCCTGCTGGTACCTGGATGCGGTCGCAGTAGTTGTCCAGCAGGAGGACTCCCAGAGACGTGACCTTCTTGGTCTCCACCATGGTCTTCATGTCCCCGAGGATCTGCATGTGTTTGGACATGTCAGTGGACAGAACCTGCGGACACAGGACCACACTGTTCTGACCAGAGAGAGACCAGAGAGAGACCAGAGAGAGAGACCAGAGAGAGACCAGAGAGAGACCAGAGAGAGACCAGAGAGAGAACCAGAGAGAGACCAGAGAGAGACCAGAGAGAGACCAGAGAGAGACCAGAGAGAGACCAGAGAGAGACCAGAGAGAGAGACCAGAGAGAGAGACCAGAGAGAGACCAGAGAGAGACCAGAGAGAGACCAGAGAGAGAGACCAGAGAGAGACCAGAGAGAGACCAGAGAGAGACCAGAGAGAGACCAGAGAGAGAGACCAGAGAGAGACCAGAGAGAGAGACCAGAGAGAGACCAGAGAGAGACCAGAGAGAGAGACCAGAGAGAGACCAGAGAGAGAGACCAGAGAGAGACCAGAGAGAGACCAGAGAGAGACCAGAGAGAGAGACCAGAGAGAGACCAGAGAGAGAGACCAGAGAGAGACCAGAGAGAGACCAGAGAGAGACCAGATAGAGACCAGAGAGAGAGACCAGAGAGAGACCAGAGAGAGAGACCAGAGAGAGACCAGAGAGAGAGACCAGAGAGAGACCAGAGAGAGACCAGAGAGATACCAGAGAGAGAGACCAGAGAGAGACCAGAGAGAGAGACCAGAGAGAGACCAGAGAGAGAGAGCAGAGAGAGAGACCAGAGAGAACCAGAGAGAGACCAGAGAGAGACCAGAGAGAGAGACCAGAGAGAGAGACCAGAGAGAGACCAGAGAGACCAGAGAGAGAGACCAGAGAGAGAGACCAAAGAGAGAGAGACCAAAGAGAGAGACCAGAGAGAGAGACCAAGAGAGAGAGACCAAGAGAGAGAGACCAGAGAGAGAGACCAGAGAGAGAGACCAGAGAGAGAGACCAGAGAGAGACCAGAGAGAGAGACCAGAGAGAGACCAGAGAGAGACCAGAGAGAGAGACCAGAGAGAGAGACCAGAGAGAGACCAGAGAGAGACCAGAGAGAGACCAGAGAGAGACCAGAGAGAGACCAGAGAGAGAGACCAGAGAGAGAGACCAGAGAGAGAGACCAGAGAGAGACCAGAGAGAGAGACCAGAGAGAGACCAGAGAGAGACCAGAGAGAGAGACCAGAGAGAGAGACCAGAGAGAGAGACCAGAGAGAGACCAGAGAGAGAGACCAGAGAGAGAGACCAGAGAGAGACCAGAGAGAGTGGTACCATGTCGATGACCATCTTGCGCAGAGCGTCTCTCTGGTTCTTGCTCAGGTTCTTGAACAGGTCACAGTTCTCCTCCTGCAGGAGCCTGAAGCCCACGGACACATGATGGTTCTCCAGGACCGAGGTGTCGTTATAGAGCAGGGCCAGGTCTGAACCTGGACCAGGAGACTGTCAGGGACCATGGGGTCTTCATAGTCTTCACGTCAGTTCATATTTGGAGTAAAACTAAAGCTCAGTGATGTTGGATGACTTACTATGAGGTATAACAGGCCATGGAAGCATCAAAGTCATTCCCATTCATTTAACTGGGGCCACAGACACACATGGTACAGAGCATATGTGGCCCCGGTCCCCACTTTGCCCTGTCTGGTCTGAGGTCTGGTCTGAGGTCTGGTCTGAGGTCTGAGGTCTGGTCTGAGGTCTGGTCTGAGGTCTGGTCTGAGGTCTGAGGTCTGGTCTGAGGTCTGGTCTGAGGTCTGGTCTGAGGTCTGGTCTAAGGGTCTGGTCTGAGGTCTGAGGTCTGGTCTGAGGTCTGGTCTGAGGTCTGGTCTGAAGTCTGGTCTGAGGTCTGGTCTTAGGTCTGGTCTGAGGTCTGGACTCACTGGTGTTGATGAGGAACTGGTTGGTGAGTCCTGGATGGTCCACGTCGTGGATGGCGCTGGCGAACAGCACAGACATGACCTCCAGGTCTGAGAACACGGCCTGGAGCACAGGGACCAGGAGAGCACAGGGACCAGGACAGCACAGGGACCAGGAGAGCACAGGGACCAGGAGAGCACAGGGACCAGGACAGCACAGGGACCAGGACAGCACAGGGACCAGGAGAGCACAGGGACCAGGAGAGAAATACCCACAATATTTGAAATCCTCTCAGTAGCAGCAGACCATTGAGAAACCAGAAAGAGACCAGAGAGAGACCAGAGAGAGACCAGGGAGAGAGACCAGAGAGAGACCAGAGAGAGAGACCAGAGAGAGACCAGAGAGAGACCAGAGAGAGACCAGAGAGAGACCAGGGAGAGAGACCAGAGAGAGACCAGAGAGAGAGACCAGAGAGAGACCAGAGAGAGACCAGAGAGAGAGACCAGAGAGAGACGAGAGAGAGACGAGAGAGAGACCAGAGAGAGATCAGAGAGAGACCAGAGAGAGAGACCAGAGAGAGACCAGAGAGAGAGACCAGAGAGAGAGACCAGAGAGAGACCAGAGAGAGAGACCAGAGAGAGACCAGAGAGAGATCAGAGAGAGACCAGAGAGAGAGACCAGAGAGAGACGAGAGAGAGACGAGAGAGAGAGACCAGAGAGAGAGACCAGAGAGAGACCAGAGAGAGACCAGAGAGAGACCAGAGAGAGACCAGAGAGAGAGACCAGAGAGAGACCAGAGAGAGATCAGAGAGAGACCAGAGAGAGAGACCAGAGAGAGACCAGAGAGAGACCAGAGAGAGAGACCAGAGAGAGACCAGAGAGAGACCAGAGAGAGAGACCAGAGAGAGACCAGAGAGAGAGACCAGAGAGAGAGACCAGAGAGAGACCAGAGAGAGACCAGAGAGAGACCAGAGAGAGACCAGAGAGAGAGACCAGAGAGAGACGAGAGAGAGACGAGAGAGACCAAAGAGAGATTAAAGCTGCAAGCGGTGTCGAACGGCCCTTGCTGCACCGCGCAAAAGGAGGTGGCGCCGCCGCGCCCTGATTTGCACCTGTAGCTGTTGAACAATGTTTGTAAAATTGTAATGAACAGTTGGTTTGGCTCCCCATTTAAACTTTGGCTCAGTCTGTAGGGGGCGCTAAAGAGCCAATCTAATGCCGCTTTTCCACAGTGTCAGTTCGGTTCGTTTCAGTACGGTAAGGCACATTTATTTTGCATTTCCACTAGGGATAGTCCGGGACTTTGCGTGACTTTTTTGCAACACCTCGACTGTGGTTCCATCCCCATAGTACCCGTGCCATGACGTCACGTCGGCCCACTGCCTTACACTGATTGGTCAACGAGTGTCGTCACTGGAAGCGACCTCTGACCCTTATCTGCAGTATTCATGTGTTGTCATTCTGTTTTGTGCTTGTGTTTAAGTTGTCGTGTGTATATTTGTTTGAGAATCCCTTTCCATAAGTGTGGAGATTACCAACGAGTAATGAGTGACCGGAGTATTCTCATCTGGACCTGGTCTGGACCTGGTCTGGACCTGGTCTGGACCTGGTCTGGACCTGGTCTGGACCTGGTCTGGACCTGTTCTGGACCTGGTCTGGACCTGGTCTGGACCTGTTCTGGACCTGGTCTGGACCTGGTCTGGACCTGTTCTGGACCTGGTCTGGACCTGGTCTGGACCTGTTCTGGACCTGGTCTGGACCTGGTCTGGACCTGGTCTCACACATACGTACCTTGGACTTACTTTGTTTACTTTTATACGTCATTTGAAACTGATGGTTTTGCACTTTACGTTTGTTTTTAATAAATCTGTGATTATATGCCAAGACTGTGTTTCATTCATTTATAAAGGATTGTGGCAAGTCTAAATCTGTATCTGGTGAGCATGTTTTGTTATCCCTCTGCTCTGTTTGCATTAACCTTTGATAAATCCACGTATTAGTCTACAACAAGCTAACTTTGTAAGCCTCTGAATCAACTGTATTGTAGCTGAAGTTTGGGTATCGGTTGTTTGTCTGGTCTGAGTCTGCTGCACTGGACCCGGGTCCGGACTAGCCTAGCCTAGCCTAGCCTAGCCTAGCCTAGCCTAGCCTAGCCTAGCCTAGCCTAGCCTAGCCTAGCCGCTAACTCGCTACCCCTACGGCTGCTTCTGTCTCTCCCTCGGTCCTTTACTGCTCGAGTTGCCATTTGACGACTTTAAACCTCCTCTGAGGGCAGTGATAGATGTGTTAAGTGTAGTATAGTTGTGGCTTTGGAATCCAGGGTTAGTGAGTGAGCAGAGTCTCGAGCTAGCGTTAGCATTAGCTATAGCCTAGCAGTATCCTGATCCTCGGACAAGCACAGGCTGCTGTTGCTACAGGTCCCATTCAGATTGCACAGAGCACAGTCAGTGTCCGAGTCATTCTTTTAAGACAAAAGCATTTTCAAAAACTACTCGTGCTGTGCTGAGTTTTCTATTAAACACTTTGATATTATAATAAATCCATGCACACAGCAGTACTAGTTACACGTCACACGTAAATGACGTGGTCTGACAACGCTGAGGACATACTGGGGGTACTATTTTTGATGGAAAAGCACGCGAACTGGGCCGGGCCGCGCCGTTTAGAGTCGATACGAAGCGTACCGTTACTGTGGAAAAGCGGCATAATATTTCACTCCTTCAGGTGTCCCAGGCCCAGGAGTAAGTAAGGCTTATTTGTATAGCGCCTTTCACAGACCAGGGTCACAAACACACAAAATACACATTCAAGTCAGATTAAAAACAAAACACATAACAAAAAAAGTGTACACAGTTCACAGAGGCCGATGACCAGTGAGAAAACCTGTCTAAACAAATGCCTCTAAAGTTGGGACTTAAAATCATCAACAGTCTCTAAGAGAGAGACTGAGGAAGCTCAGTAGAACAACCGAGTCAAGTTTGGTACAAATCAGACTTTGTTTGTGTAAACCGGAGCACGTGTTGTGTCTGTGAGCGTGTCCAAATAAGACTCCATTGGATGACCATCGGACTAATCACAATTCTACAAACAAGTATTGATGGTACATGTGTGAAAATGATGTGGACAAGAGACCAGAGAGAGACCAGAGAGAGACCAGAGAGAGACCAGAGAGAGACCAGAGAGAGACCAGAGAGAGAGACCAGAGAGAGACCAGAGAGAGACCAGAGAGAGACCAGAGAGAGACCAGAGAGAGACCAGAGAGAGACCAGAGAGAGACCAGAGAGAGACCAGAGAGAGACCAGAGAGAGACAAGAGAGACACCAGAGAGAGACCAGAGAGAGACCAGAGAGACACCAGAGAGAGACCAGAGAGAGAGACACCAGAGAGAGACCAGAGAGAGACAAGAGAGACACCAGAGAGACACCAGAGAGAGAGAGACCAGAGAGAGACCATGCGTGTACCTGCAGTGCTGGCGTGGACAGCAGCACGTGTGTGGACTGGAGCACGTCTGCAGCGTGGATGTTGTTGTGATACGACACGTCGCGGTAATGATCCTCAAGGGTCGTCATGAAGGTCAAGAAGGTGTCCGAGGGAATCTGGAAGGTCTTCAGCAGCTCCCGCTCCTAAGCCACAGGTCCAATGTTAGACCAGAACTACATCAGTCCTGGGTCTACATTCTCAGTCCTGGGTCTACAGCCTCAGTCCTGGGTCTACAGCCTCAGTCCTGGGTCTACAGCCTCAGTCCTGGGTCTACAGCCTCAGTCCTTGGGGGGTCTACAGCCTCAGTCCTGGGTCTACAGCCTCAGTCCTTGGGGGGTCTACAGCCTCAGTCCTGGGTCTACAGCCTCAGTCCTTGGGGGGTCTACAGCCTCACTCCTGGGTCTAAAGCCTCAGTCCTGACCTTGAAGATGGAGAACATGACGACCGTCAGAGGTCGGTTTCCAGAAAACTCTGAGATCTTAAATATGTCCAGGCCCCAGTGGTTTATGTCTTCAATCTCCTGCAACACAAGGAGCCAAAGAATCAGTTTTGCCTTTTCCACAGTAACGGCACGGCACAGCACGGCACAGCGCTGTACTTTTGCATTTCCACCAGGGTTGGGGTTCTTTTTTCGCAACACCTCGACCGCGCTGTACCGATACCATGACGTCGGCCCACTGCCTTACACTGATTGGTCAACGAGTGTCGTCACTGGAAGCGACCTCTGACCCTTTGGGAAAAACAACTCAACCGCCATCTTTAAAACAGGCTGCTCTGCTCGGCTCTGCTTCGGCTACAGTACGTCCTCCTCACTCCAGAGAAATGGAATTGCACAGAAAGCCCCAAAAGTCCTGGTCCTGGTCGGTGGACGAGGTCCACACGTTCCTCTCTTCAGGTCTCTCTCTGGAGAGACCAGGGAGAGAGACCAGAGAAAGACCAGAAAGAGACCAGAGAGACCAGAGAGAGAGATCAGAGAGAGAGAGACCAGAGAGAGAGACCAGAGAGAGACACCAGAGGTCAGGAGTATTGCACAGAGGTCAGGTGTATTGCACAGAGGTCAGGAGTATTGCACAGAGGTCAGGTGTATTGCACAGAGGTCAGGAGTATTGCACAGAGGTCAGGTGTATTGCACAGAGGTCAGGTGGTACCTGGGACAGCAGGTTCTCGTGGGGCGTGGTCACTCCAAAGCGGGGGATGGAGAGGAGGGGGGAGGGGCTGGTCTGGGACATGGGACGCCTCCTCTTGTCCTTTGGGGATGGGCCCAGGACCTCCACGTCCTGCTGCTTATCTTCACACACATGTGAGACTTAGGAACACAGACTGTGGAGCCCCCTGCTGGACTAGTCCTGGTCTCAGGTCTCTGTCCTGAAGTCCTCTCACATTAGTCCTGGTCTCAGGTCTCTGTCCTGAAGTCCTCTCACATTAGTCCTGGTCTCAGGTCTCTGTCCTGAAGTCCTCTCACATTAGTCCTGGTCTCAGGTCTCTGTCCTGAAGTCCTCTCACATTAGTCCTGGTCTCAGGTCTCTGTCCTGAAGTCCTCTCACATTAGTCCTGGTCTCAGGTCTCTGTCCTGAAGTCCTCTCACATTAGTCCTGGTCTCAGGTCTCTGTCCTGAAGTCCTCTCACATTAGTCCTGGTCTCAGGTCTCTGTCCTGAAGTCCTCTCACATTAGTCCTGGTCTCAGGTCTCTGTCCTGAAGTCCTCTCACATTAGTCCTGGTCTCAGGTCTCTGTCCTGAAGTCCTCTCACATTAGTCCTGGTCTCAGGTCTCTGTCCTGAAGTCCTCTCACATTAGTCCTGGTCTCAGGTCTCTGTCCTGAAGTCCTCTCACATTAGTCCTGGTCTCAGGTCTCTGTCCTGAAGTCCTCTCACATTAGTCCTGGTCTCAAGTCTCTGTCCTGAAGTCCTCTCACATTAGTCCTGGTCTCAGGTCTCTGTCCTGGAGTCCTCTCACATTAGTCCTGGTCTCAGGTCTCTGTCCTGAAGTCCTCTCACATTAGTCCTGGTCTCAGGTCTCTGTCCTGAAGTCCTCTCACATTAGTCCTGGTCTCAGGTCTCTGTCCTGAAGTCCTCTCACATTAGTCCTGGTCTCAGGTCTCTGTCCTGAAGTCCTCCTCACATTAGTCCTGGTCTCAGGTCTCTGTCCTGAAGTCCTCTCACATTAGTCCTGGTCTCAAGTCTCTGTCCTGAAGTCCTCTCACATTAGTCCTGGTCTCAGGTCTCTGTCCTGAAGTCCTCTCACATTAGTCCTGGTCTCAGGTCTCTGTCCTGAAGTCCTCTCACATTAGTCCTGGTCTCAGGTCTCTGTCCTGAAGTCCTCTCACATTAGTCCTGGTCTCAGGTCTCTGTCCTGAAGTCCTCTCACATTAGTCCTGGTCTCAGGTCTCTGTCCTGAAGTCCTCTCACATTAGTCCTGGTCTCAAGTCTCTGTCCTGAAGTCCTCTCACATTAGTCCTGGTCTCAGGTCTCTGTCCTGAAGTCCTCTCACATTAGTCCTGGTCTCAGGTCTCTGTCCTGAAGTCCTCTCACATTAGTCCTGGTCTCAGGTCTCTGTCCTTTTTTTTTTTTTTTTTTTTTTATTGTTTGTTACACACACAATTAGATGCATTTACAGTTGTTGACAGCAAGTACAGTCTATGTGCGTGTTTTTTTATTATATATACACAACCCCCCCTCCCACTACCACCCTCCCTCCCCAGTTCGTCTCCAGGTTGACAGTGTATCTCGTAGAGTTATGTTTGGCTATGTAAAAAGGGTAAATAAGTAAGCATGTTCCTAAAAAGGGAAAAATAACTTCAAGTAAAAAAAAAAAAAAAAAAAAAAAGGTATATATGTGTACGAATGTATACACATGCACACATATACATATATACACACATACACACAAACACATATACATATGTACACATATATACACACACACACATACACAAATAATTGCAGAAAATAAAAATAAATACGAATAAAATAAAACAAATAAAAAATAGAAAATAGAGAGGGCACCCGCATGTATTCGCATGTCAGAATCAGAATCAGAATCATTTTTATTGCCAACGTAAGTAACGGGAGGTCACAGACTTGGAAATTGCTTTGGCTCAGTGCAACAGTCAAAAAGAGATAATAAAAATAAGAATAAAAAACACTTCTAAAGAATAAATTTAAATTTAAAATAGAGTTACAGTTACTATTTACAATATACAAGTGCACATGGTGCACACAATGTAAGGTGACAGCAGTACAGTGAAGTAAAGTGACGTATGATGGGCAGTAAAGTGACTTTATAAAGGGCGGGGGGACAGGTTAAGAAGTGTTCAAGAGTCCAACAGCAGAGGGGAAGAAACTGTTCTTGTGGCGGGAGGTTCTAGTCCTGATGGACCGCAGCCTCCTGCCTGAGGGGAGTGGTTGGAATAGTCCATGTGCAGGTGAGAGGGGAGTGGTTGGAATAGTCCATGTGCAGGGTGAGAGGGGGGTGGTTGGAATAGTCCATGTGCAGGTGAGAGGGGAGTGGTTGGAATAGTCCATGTGCAGGTGAGAGGGGAGTGGTTGGAATAGTCCATGTGCAGGTGAGAGGGGAGTGGTTGGAATAGTCCATGTGCAGGGTGAGAGGGGTCGGCTGTGATACGACCAGCCCGGCCTCGAGCTCGGGCGACGTACAGGTCCTGCAGCGATGGAAGGCTGCGGCCGATCACTGTCAGGGCTGCTCCTCCAGCAGCCCCTCCCTCCCCTGCTTCTCCTGGAGCCGCCTCCCAGAGCAGGTGGATGGGAGAGGCTGATCAGGCCCAGCTGCCTCCTGGCTCCAATCAAGCTACTACAAGAGCTCCAGAAGCCAGCTCATCGGTGCCAGTTCGTAATCAGTGTTACTGTGCGTTAGTAGGCCTGCTTGTTTATCGCTCTCGTTACTTTTGTCTCACCTTTGTTTTGCTCTGCCTCAGACCTCCGTTCCGCACCGCCTGACCCCAGCCCAGCACCGCCTGACCCCAGCTCTGCACCCAGCCCTGCCCCGCCTGGTCCCAGCCCCATTCCCGGCTCTCCTGTGTTTTGAGTCTACCTATTTTTGTTAATTAAACTTTTTGTTACCTCTGCACTTGGGTTCTTTGTCCGACTCGTAACAGTACGAACTGGCCAAAGAATGAACCCAGCAGACCACATCAACCAGACCCTTTCTGCCCAGATGTCTCTGTTGGAGCAACATGACAATACGCTCAAGGCCCTCATGGAACACATGAAGGAGTTTTCTATCAGCCTGGCAAGCCTGAGGACTCAAGTAATCAACACAACGGCCACTGATAATATTTCTGCTCCTTCTGCTGCCCCATCGCTAGTCCTGCCTCCTCCTACCAGAGATGTTTTTGTTCCTCCACCGGCACCGTACCACGGCGACCTGGGGTCATGTAAGTCTTTTTTGACCCAGTGTTCCCTTATTTTTGAGCAACAACCGCTAAGTTATGCTAATGATCGAGCCAGGATTTCATACTTAATTGGGTGCCTTCGAGGCCATGCTCTTAATTGGGCCTCTGCAGTTTGGGAGAGACAGGATCCAATTTGTGATTCCTATTACGATTTTACTGCTGCTATGAGGCAGATTTTTGACCATCCTGTTAGTGGCAAGGAGGCGGCTAAGAGACTATTTTCCCTGCGTCAAGAGAACCGCAGTGTAGCTGAGTTGGCCATTGAATTTCGCACACTCGCAGCTGAATCGGGGTGGAATGATGAGGCGCTTCTGGGAGCATTTCTTAATTCTCTGTCGGAGAATCTCAAGGACGAGCTAGCTTCCCGTGACGTTCCTGGTAGCCTCAATGATTTAATTGATTTGACCATTCGTGTGGACAACCGGCTCAGGGAGCGGCGACGTGAGAGAGCGGGTAGGACGAAATATGTGAATGCTTACAACTCTCCACAAGTTGTTTTTCCAGCGACACCGCCTGTTCCACCTCCAGCCACGCCGGGACCAGAGCCCATGCAGCTTGGCCGAGCCCTCGTCAGTGCAGAGGAGAGAGAACGCCGCATTAACTCCCGGAGCTGTCTCTATTGCGGTCAGATTGGGCACTTTATCGCATCTTGTCCTGCACGGCCAAAAGGTTGGGCTCAACAGTAGTGGGAGACGTACTGTTGAGCCAAATTAGTGGCACCTCTCCCTTAAGAGCCAGTTTTGAGGGCACCCTTGTTTTTTCTGATCAAACCCTAACGCTTCCTGTGCTCATTGACTCTGGGGCAGATGAGAGCTTTTTGGACAGTGAGGTCGTTCACCAGCTGGGAATTGGGACCGAAGTTCTGGACACCCCTTTGGAGGCTAAGGCATTGAATGGGCAGTTACTCGCCAGAGTCACGAGGAAGACTCTCCCAATCCTCCTTCATCTCTCAGGTAACCACAAGGAGACTATTTCCTTCCATGTTTTTGATTGTACTCACTCTCCTCTTGTTTTGGGGTTGCCATGGTTAAGGTTGCCACAATCCTCATGTTGACTGGTCAGCTAAGAGTATCATTTCATGGAGCCCATTCTGTCATTCTTATTGCTTGCAGTCGGCCCTGACCCCAGTTTGTTTTCGATCCACCCCGCCCCCAGACCCTCCGGATCTGTCGGTAGTGCCCTCTGAGTATCACGACCTTGGTGCTGTATTTAGCAAGGATCGGGCTCTTTCTCTCCCCCCTCACCGGCCTTATGATTGCGCCATAGACCTGCTTCCTGGGGCGCCTCTACCGAGCAGCCGCCTGTACAACCTCTCGCGCCCGGAGAACGAGTCTATGGAGAGGTACATTCAGGAATCCCTGGCAGTGGGAATAATCAGGCCCTCGTCCTCTCCAGTGGGTGCTGGATTTTTTTTTGTTGAGAAAAAGGATAAGTCTCTTAGGCCCTGCATTGATTACCGGGGCCTCAATAAAATCACTGTTAAGAACAAGTACCCACTCCCTTTGATTAGTTCAGCCTTCACCCCTCTCTGTGGATCTACTATTTTCACTAAATTGGACTTGCGCAATGCCTATCACCTGGTGCGCATCAGGGAGGGGGATGAGTGGAAGACTGCCTTTAATACTCCCCTGGGCCATTTTGAATACCTGGTCATGCCGTTTGGTCTCACTAACGCCCCATCCGTGTTTCAAAACCTGGTAAATGACGTCCTACGTGACATGATTGGGAGATATGTTTTTGTTTACATTGACGACATCTTGATTTTTTCTAGAGATATCGAGACTCACAGGCGCCATGTCCGCAGTGTCCTCCAAAGACTCCTGGAGAACAAGTTATTTGTTAAGGCAGAGAAATGTCAGTTTCATGAACCTTCTGTCTCATTCTTAGGATACATTATTGCCCGGGGCCAGGTGCAGATGGATCCTGAAAAGCTGTCTGCTGTCCGTGATTGGCCTATCCCCACCAGTCGCAGGGAGGTACAGCGTTTTTTGGGGTTTGCTAATTTCTATAGGAGATTCATCCGCAATTTCAGCCACATTGCGGCCCCCCTGACTGCACTTACCTCCACTTCTTCCAATTTCGCATGGACTCCTGAGGCTGACTTGGCTTTTAAGCGACTTAGGGACCGGTTCACCTCTGCCCCTGTGCTTATTCAGCCCAATCCTGAACTCCAGTTTGTAGTAGAGGTGGACGCCTCTGACACAGGAGTGGGGGCTATACTCTCGCAAAGGTCACCCACTGATCAGAAATTGCATCCATGTGCTTTTTTCTCTCGTAAACTGTCTTCTGCAGAGAGAAACTACGACATCGGTAACAGAGAGCTCCTGGCAATCAAGCTGGCCCTAGAGGAGTGGCGTCACTGGCTGGAGGGGGCTACTCACCCCTTTGTGGTCTGGTCGGATCACAAGAACCTCACGTATATCCAGACAGCCAAGCGTCTCAACTCAAGGCAAGCCAGGTGGGCCCTTTTTTTCGACCGTTTCAACTTCTCTGTCACTTATCGCCCTGGCTCCAAGAACTTGAAACCAGATGCCTTGTCCAGAGTTTATTGCGGTGCACATCCTGCTCCTGAGAATGACACTATTCTGCCTTTGTCCCGTATAGTGGCTACCGTTACATGGGAGATAGAGTCACGAGTGCGTCATGCGCAACTGACCCACCCGGATCCGGGGACGGGACCCCCGAGTTCCTTGTTTGTTCCTGACCCCGTTCGTTCAGAAGTTATTCAATGGGCACACTGCACCCACCTTACATGCCACCCTGGGGTTAGTCGTACCCTCGCTGTGCTCAGGCGCAAGTTCTGGTGGCCTACTATGGAGAGGGATACTAAGGACTTCATTGCTGCATGCAACGTGTGCTCCCAGAATAAATGTTCTAACCAGCCCCCATCTGGGTTGCTGCGTCCTCTACCCATCCCCAATCGCCCTTGGTCTCACATAGCGCTGGATTTTGTTACCGGCCTCCCGCCTTCTAATGGTAATTCCGTGGTGCTGACAGTTGTGGACCGGTTCTCAAAGGCTGCTCACTTTGTACCCCTTCCTAAACTTCCTTCTGCTAAGGAGACTGCAGACCTGTTGGTGAACCACGTCTTCCGGCTGCATGGCATTCCTGCCGACATCGTGTCTGACAGAGGCCCCCAGTTCACGGCTCAGGTTTGGAAGGCCTTCTGTTCTGCCCTGAATATTAACGTGAGCCTTTCCTCTGGCTATCACCCCCAGACTAATGGCCAGACGGAGCGGGCTAACCAGCAGATGGAGGTGGCTCTACGTTGTGTGTCCTCCTCTAATCCGTCCAGCTGGAGTTCTCACCTTCCCTGGGTGGAATATGCCCATAACACACTCCCGAGCGCTTCTTTAGGTATGTCCCCTTTTGAATGTTGTTATGGCTATCAACCGCCCCTGTTTCCTGACCAAGAGGCTGAGTTGGCAGTGCCCTCGGTCCAGGATAACCTTCGCAGATGTCAAAAGACTTGGAAGAAGGCCCGCTCTGCCTTGCTGCGCGCCTCTGCTCGGACGCAAGTACAGGCTAATCGCCGCCGCATCCCGGCTCCTGCCTATTTGCCTGGACAGAAGGTGTGGCTGTCCACGAGAGACATTCCCCTCAAGGTGGAATCTGCGAAGCTGTCGCCCCGCTTTATCGGGCCCTTTGAGGTGGAACAGGTCGTCAACCCCTCCGCGGTACGTCTCAAGCTTCCCTCTTCCTTGAAGATTCACCCCACGTTTCATGTGTCCCGTGTTAAGCCTGTCCAGTCTAGTCCATCTAACCCCCCGTCCAGCCCCACCCCCGCCTCGGTTGGTGGACGGCCATCCTGCCTTTACCGTTCGGCGGATCGTGGATGTTCGACAGCGTGGTCGTGGCTGCCAGTTCCTGGTGGACTGGGAAGGTTACGGCCCCGAGGAGCGATGCTGGGTCTCCCGTGGCAACATCCTGGACCCGTCCCTCATACGGGACTTCTACGCTCGTCGACCGGGGAGGCGTGTGTGTCCGCCTGGGGGCGTCAGTAGGGGGAGGGGTACTGTCAGGGCTGCTCCTCCAGCAGCCCCTCCCTCCCCTGCTTCTCCTGGAGCCGCCTCCCAGAGCAGGTGGATGGGAGAGGCTGATCAGGCCCAGCTGCCTCCTGGCTCCAATCAAGCTACTACAAGAGCTCCAGAAGCCAGCTCATCGGTGCCAGTTCGTAATCAGTGTTACTGTGCGTTAGTAGGCCTGCTTGTTTATCGCTCTCGTTACTTTTGTCTCACCTTTGTTTTGCTCTGCCTCAGACCTCCGTTCCGCACCGCCTGACCCCAGCCCAGCACCGCCTGACCCCAGCTCTGCACCCAGCCCTGCCCCGCCTGGTCCCAGCCCCATTCCCGGCTCTCCTGTGTTTTGAGTCTACCTATTTTTGTTAATTAAACTTTTTGTTACCTCTGCACTTGGGTTCTTTGTCCGACTCGTAACAATCACTTCCTCTGCAGAGCGCACAATGCGCTGTAGACTCTGTTTGTCCCTGACTGTGGCTCCAGCGAACCACACGGTGATGGAGGAGGTGATGGAGGAGGTGATGGAGGAGGTGATGGAGGAGGTGATGGAGGAGGTGATGAGGAGGTGATGGAGGAGGTGATGGAGGAGGTGATGGAGGAGGTGATGGAGGAGGTGATGGAGGAGGTGATGGAGGAGGTGATGGAGGAGGTGATGGAGGAGGTGAGGATGGACTCGATGATGGCCGTGTAGAACTGCACCAACATCTGTGCAGGCAGCTTGGCTTTCCTGAGCTGCCTGAGCTATATGTATACATATACATAGGTACACATGTATACGTCCATCCATATTCATGCATACACTATACATACACCCCTGCATATATGTGCAGATACACATCGCCTATACACACACAAGTTCATATACATTCAGAACACGCCTTCATACATATTAGCACCTGACCAATACTTTAAATATATGTTTAGAGAGCCCTAACCCGCTCCTATAAAGCCAATAAAGTGTGACCATATCTTAAGAAAAAGGTCTTGCTGTTGATGTAGCCTAAGGATCACTTTTTCGTAGCTTGCAGTTTTTATCATCCATTCCAGCCATTTGTCGAAGGATGAAGGAATTGTAGATTTCCAGTCTCGGGTTATAATCCGACATCCTGTAATCAGATTGTAATTGTTCAGAGCACAGTTGGTCAGCAGGAGCCAATCCGAGCAGGCATAGTTCAGGTTTATTGACCAGTTTGACTTGAAACAAGTTATTGATAAGGTTAATAATATTTTCCCATAGGCCTAAAACATTATCACATTCATACAGCATGTGAATCAGAGTTCCGTTACGTTTCTTGCACCGCCAGCATTTATTGTCATCAATTAAATTTAGCCGAGCCATTCTGCTGGGAGTCCAATAACATCTGTTTAAGATTTTGTACTTTATCAGTTGAGTTTGAGTTTCACGGGATGTAAGATGCCAATTAGTGATAACAGTTTGCCATTGCTCTTGCTCTATAGGAGCCTCTACGTCCACCTCCCATGTATTTTTCAAGCTACTGAGATTGGGTGCGTTAGTACTTCTAAGAATACGATAGAAAGCTGATGGACCACCTTTTTTGAGAGAGGCAATCTTTAATAACTTTTGAATAGGTGTTTCATCATTAGGGCTTGGCTTCACAGCAGAATGTAGGCAGTGTCTCAGCTGCAGGTATTTCCAGAACTCATGGTTAGGAATTTTATATTGCTTCTTCAAATGCTCAAACTCTACTATGTAGCCATTCTTATATAGATCCCCCAAGTGGAGAATTCCAGTCGCTGCCCATTCTTTCCAGTATATTGGTTTCTTATCAATAGTAATTTTGGAGTTGAACCATATGGAGCTGTCCAATGTTAATGCGGGATTGATTTTTAGAATTCTATGTGCTTTATTCCAGCTCTGTTTAGTGAACTCCAATATAGGGTTGTTTAGAGGTGTAGATCTGCCAGATTGCGAAGCAAAAGTGCCAGTTTTAAAAGGTTGCAAAATTTCATTTTCAATATTTACCCATGCTGGATATTTATTTATGGGCAGGTTACATTTAGAGAGTTGAGCAAGTGAGAATGAATGCTGATACCATTCTATATTGGGAAGTGAGGGACCACCCTGTTCTTTAGCAGAATATAATTTGGTCCTATTCACTAAGCGCTTCTTCCCCCTCCAAACAAAATTTTCAACAGCTCGGTTATAGTCTTTTAGGAGTGAGTTTGGGAGAGGAAGAGGCAGCATATACAATAGGTAATTTACTTTAGGAATTATGATCATTTTAATTAGATTAATATTAATTAAAGACTTAGACCAATTAATCTTGTATCCTGAAATTCTTGAGAAGTCGTTAATTAATGATATGACGAGTGGGATGGCCTCATTGGGGTTTTGTAAAACCAAGAGGAGGTCATCAGCGTAGAGGAAGATTTTATGTTCCTCTCGGCCAGCTTGTACCCCTAATATCTTAGGATTGTTCCTCATGGCAATGGCCAGTGGTTCCAGGGCGATGGCAAAAATAAGGGGAGAGAGCGGGCAGCCCTGCTTTGTACCGCGAAAGAGGTGGAATGGAGGAGAGATTATTCTGTTGCTCATAACTGATGCTGTGACGTTTCTGTATAGTATTTTAATCCAAGCAAGGAATGACGAAGGCCTTCTCCGCATCTAGGGAGAAGGCCATGACAGGGCTATGGTTGCCCTTGGACTTAAACCACCACATGTAAGAGCCTTCTCAAGTTGTCTGCTGAAGATCGTCCTTTGACAAACCCCACTTGATCTGAGTGTATAATTGTGGGAAGTATATTCTCAAGTCTGTTGGATAGAATTTTGCTAAGTATCTTGCCATCTACATTGCCGAGTGAAATAGGTCTATAGTTGCCGCATTGCTGTGGGTCTTTTCCCTTCTTATGTATCAGGGTAATTAAGTTTTTACTCATTGAAGGTGGGAGTGTGCCCTGCTTGAGTGCGTTGCGAAATACAGTCAATAATCTTGGAGAGAGGACGTCGCAAAACTTTATATAAAAATCTGGTGTGTATCCATCTTCCCCTGGTGAGCGGCCGGCCTCAGTCCTCGTATTGCTTTCTGAATCTCTTCATTTGTTACGTCCATTTCCATTAAATTTCTTTGCGTTTCAGAGAGTTGTGGTATATCTAGGGAGTCAAAGAATATATCATATTGACATCTTTCCACATTTCCTTGTGATGTATAAAGTGACTTATAAAATCTGTAGAAAACATTGTGGATCTCCCTTTTATCAGTGACCGGTATGTCCTCAGTATTAAGTATGGATGGAATAGTATTCTGTGCTGCCTGCTGTTTAACTCTACTAGCGAGCAGTTTGCCCGCTCTCTCCCCTTGTTCGTAATTTTTTTTGCTTTGACCGGAAAAGGTCTAGCTCTACTTTTTCCTGGATTATGCAATTGATTTTAAACTTGAGTGAGATCATTTTTTTCCATATATTAGCATCTTCTTGTTTTGTATATTGTAGAGTCAATTCTTTCAGTTGTTTCTCAAAATGTAGTAATTGGTGGTTTTACTCCGTCGCTGCTGAACGACTGACGCTGATATTAAATATTATCGTTATTAATTTGTTTGTGTTTCTGCTGCTACTGGACCGACCCGTCTGCCGTTTATGGTCTTCGTACTGCAGGACCGACCCCTCTGCCGTTTATGGTCTTCGTACTGCAAGACCGACCCGTCTGCCGTTTATGGTCTTCGTACTGCAGGACCGACCCGTCTGCCGTTTATGGTCTTCGTACTGCAGGACCGACCCGTCTGCCGTTTATGGTCTTCGTACTGCAGGACCGACCCGTCTGCCGTTTATGGTCTTCGTACTGCAGGACCGACCCGTCTGCCGTTTATGGTCTTCGTACTGCAGGACCGACCCGTCTGCCGTTTATGGTCTTATTTTATTCCCTGAGATTTTCCATCCATCCATTTTCTTCCCCTAAATCCATTCCTGGGTCAGGGTTGGCAGTCAGAGCACCAGCCCCTACCTGATCCTCCTGCTCCTCCTGGTCCTCACTGATCCTCCTGCTCCTCCTGGTCCTCACTGATCCTCCTGCTCCTCCCTGCTCCTCCTGCAGGGGGTGATTCCACAGGAGCCCTGATCTTCGGGGGCTTCAGGCAAAGTGGGGATAAGTGTCTTGCCCAAGGACACAAAGACTGCTGTTACTTCACTTTTCTCTTTCTCAGCTTTTCAGCAGGAAGTCGGTTTTTTACATTAATGGTCCGAAAATGCCGATGGTACACTGCAGACGATGGTACACTGCAGACGATGGTACACTGCAGACGATGGTACACTGCAGACGATGGTAGACTGCAGACGATGGTACACTGGCAGACGATGGTAGACTGCAGACGATGGTACACTGCAGACGATTGTACACTGCAGACGATGGTACACTGCAGACGATGGTAGACTGCAGACGATGGTAGACTGCAGACGATGGTACACTGCAGACGATGGTAGACTGCAGACGATGGTAGACTGCAGGCGATGGTACACTGCAGACGATGGTACACTGCAGACGATGGTAGACTGCAGACGATGGTAGACTGCAGGCGATGGTACACTGCAGACGATGGTACACTGCAGACGATGGTACACTGCAGACGATGGTAGACTGCAGACGATGGTAGACTGCAGACGATGGTACACTGCAGACGATGGTAGACTGCAGACGATGGTAGACTGCAGACGATGGTAGACTGCAGACGATGGTACACTGCAGACGATGGTACACTGCAGACGATGGTACACTGCAGACGATGGTAGACTGCAGACGATGGTAGACTGCAGACGATGGTACACTGCAGACGATGGTAGACTGCAGACGATGGTACACTGCAGACGATGGTACACTGCAGACGATGGTAGACTGCAGACGATGGTAGACTGCAGACGATGGTACACTGCAGACGATGGTAGACTGCAGACGATGGTACACTGGCAGACGATGGTACATAGAACTTTACAGCACGTGACACTTTACAGCACGTGACACTTTACAGCACATGACACTTTACAGCACATGACACTTTACAGCACATGGCACTTTACAGCACATGGCACTTTACAGCACATGGCACTTTACAGCACATGGCACTTTACAGCACATGACACTTTACAGCACATGGCACTTTACAGCACATGGCACTTTACAGCACGTGACACTTTACAGCACGTGGCACTTTACAGCACATGGCACTTTACAGCACATGACACTTTACAGCACATGGCACGTTAAAGCACATAGCACTTTACAGCACGTGACACTTTACAGCACGTGACACTTTACAGCACGTGACACTTTACAGCACGTGGCACTTTACAGCATGTGGCACTTTACAGCACATGGCACTTTACAGCACATGGCACTTTACAGCACATGGCACTTTACAGCACATGGCACTTTACAGCAGATCGCACTTTACAGCACATAGCACTTTATAGCACATGGCACTTTACAGCAGATAGCACTTTACAGCACATGGCACTTTACAGCACATGACACTTTACAGCACATAGCACTTTACAGCACATGGCACTTTACAGCACATAGCACTTTACAGCACATGACACTTTACAGCACATAGCACTTTACAGCACATGACACTTTACAGCACACAGCACTTTACAGCACATAGCACTTTACAGCACATGACACTTTACAGCAGATAGCGCTTTACAGCACATGACACTTTACAGCACATGGCACTTTACAGCACATGACACTTTACAGCACATAGCACTTTACAGCACATAGCACTTTACAGCAGATAGCACTTTACAGCAGATAGCGCTTTACAGCAGATAGCACTTTACAGCAGATATCACTTTACAGCAGATAGCGCTTTACAGCAGATAGCGCTTTACAGCACATGGCACTTTACAGCACATAGCACTCTACAGCACATGACACTTTACAGCAGATAGCACTTTACAGCACATCTGACTTGATAATGAGCTCTTGTTTTTGTTTTCTTCAATGTCATAATTTACTGTTTCTGTTTTTACACAATAAAGATAAAGATGAACCTCTCCTTCACAGCGAGGGTGAATTAGTCTGTCACTGAAGCTGCTCTCCAGAGCAGAGAGAGTGTCCTGCAGGGGGCGACAGTCATGGTCCTGCACTGTGTCCAGGGAACAGCCCAGGACTGAGCTTGACTTCCTGATGATGAATGTAGAGTCAGCTCTAAACAGAGTGTCTCCTGCTCCTCCTGTAGAGTCAGCTCTAAACAGAGTGTCTCCTGCTCCTCCTGTAGAGTCAGCTCTAAACAGAGTGTCTCCTCCTCCTCCTGTAGAGTCAGCTCTAAACAGAGTGTCTCCTGCTCCTCCTGTAGAGTCAGCTCTAAACAGAGTGTCTCCTGCTCCTCCTGCTCCTCCTCCTGTTCCTCCTGCTCCTCCTGCTCCTCCTGTAGTCAGCTCTAAACAGAGTGTCTCCTGCTCCTCCTCGTGTTCCTCCTGCTCCTCCTGTAGAGTCAGCTCTAAACAGAGTGTCTCCTGCTCCTCCTGCTCCTCCTCCTACTCCTCCTACTCCTCCTGTAGTCAGCTCTAAACAGAGTGTCTCCTGCTCCTCCTCCTGCTCCTCCTGCTCCTCCTCCTGCTCCACCTGTAGAGTCAGCTCTAAACAGAGTGTCTCCTGCTCCTCCTCCTGCTCCTCCTGCTCCTCCTGCTCCTCCTCCTGCTCCTCCTCCTGCTCCTCCTGCTCCTCCTCCTGCTCCTCCTGCTCCTCCTCCTGCTCCTCCTCCTGCTCCTCCTGCTCCTCCTGTAGTCAGCTCTAAACAGAGTGTCTCCTGCTCCTCCTGCTCCTCCTGCTCCTCCTGTAGAGTCAGCTCTAAACAGAGTGTCTCCTGCTCCTCCTGTAGTCAGCTCTAAACAGAGTGTCTCCTGCTCCTCCTCCTGCTCCTCCTGTAGAGTCAGCTCTAAACAGAGTGTCTCCTGCTCCTCCTCCTGCTCCTCTTGCTCCTCCTGTAGTCAGCTCTAAACAGAGTGTCTCCTGCTCCTCCTCCTGCTCCTCTTGCTCCTCCTGTAGTCAGCTCTAAACAGAGTGTCTCCTGCTCCTCCTCCTGCTCCTCCTGCTCCTCCTCCTGCTCCACCTGTAGAGTCAGCTCTAAACAGAGTGTCTCCTGCTCCTCCTCCTCCTCCTGCTCCTCCTGCTCCTCCTCCTGCTCCTCCTGCTCCTCCTCCTGCTCCTCCTCCTGCTCCTCCTGCTCCTCCTGTAGTCAGCTCTAAACAGAGTGTCTCCTGCTCCTCCTGCTCCTCCTGCTCCTCCTGTAGAGTCAGCTCTAAACAGAGTGTCTCCTGCTCCTCCTGTAGTCAGCTCTAAACAGAGTGTCTCCTGCTCCTCCTCCTGCTCCTCCTGTAGAGTCAGCTCTAAACAGAGTGTCTCCTGCTCCTCCTCCTGCTCCTCTTGCTCCTCCTGTAGTCAGCTCTAAACAGAGTGTCTCCTGCTCCTCCTCCTGCTCCTCTTGCTCCTCCTGTAGTCAGCTCTAAACAGAGTGTCTCCTGCTCCTCCTCCTGCTCCTCTTGCTCCTCCTGTAGTCAGCTCTAAACAGAGTGTCTCCTGCTCCTCCTCCTGCTCCTCCTGTAGTCAGCTCTAAACAGAGTGTCTCCTGCTCCTCCTCCTGCTCCTCCTGTAGTCAGCTCTAAACAGAGTGTCTCCTGCTCCTGCTCCTCCTCCTGCTCCTCCTGCTCCTCCTGTAGTCAGCTCTAAACAGAGTGTCTCCTGCTACTCCTGCTCCTCCTGCTCCTCCTGTAGTCAGCTCTAAACAGAGTGTCTCCTGCTCCTCCTGCTGCTCCTCCTGCTCCTCCTGTAGTCAGCTCTAAACAGAGTGTCTCCTGCTCCTCCTCCTGCTCCTCCTGTTGAGTCAGCTCTAAACAGAGTGTCTCCTGCTCCTCCTGCTCCTCCTCCTGCTCCTGTAGAATTAGTTCTCAACAGCTTGTGTCTCCTGCAGAGCCCTGACCAGATGGAGATGAAGCTCCTCCTGCTCCTCCTGCTCCTCCTGCTCCTGGAGGCAGCTCTCTGTGACGACGTCAAGTACATCTCCAAGAGAAACTCTGGTAGGACCATCAACAGTCCCTGCTGGTCCATACAGTTCCTGCTGGTTTTGCTTTTTATGTCTCTGGTCTCTTTCTGGTCTCTCTCTGGTCTCTCTCTGGTCTCTCTCTGGTCTCTCTCTCTGGTCTCTCTCTGGTCTCTCTCTGGTCTCTCTCTGGTCTCTCTCTGATCTCTCTCTGGTCTCTCTCTAGTCTCTCTCTGGTCTCTCTCTGGTCTCTTTCTGGTCTCTCTCTGGTCTCTTTCTGGTCTCTTTCTGGTCTCTCTCTGATCTCTCTCTGGTCTCTCTCTCTAGTCTCTCTCTGGTCTCTCTCTGGTCTCTTTCTGGTCTCTCTCTGGTCTCTCTCTGGTCTCTCTCTAATCTCTCTCTGGTCTCTCTCTGGTCTCTCTCTCTGGTCTCTCTCTGGTCTCTCTCTGGTCTCTCTCTGGTCTCTTTCTGGTCTCTCTCTGGTCTCTCTCTGGTCCGTGTGTCCTGTTTGTCCTCTGTATCTTGATGGTATCGGTGCTGAGCTGTGATGGTGAGATTACATCAGGTTCCACCAGGTTTGTGCTGCGTCAGAGGAAAGAGCCTCCCCCACCGAGAGGGAGGGAGACCAGGGGGAGACAGGGAGGAGGGAGACCAGGGGGAGACATGGAGGAGGGAGACCAGTGGGAGACAGAGAGGAGTGAGTGGGGGGGTCTCTTTCTCTTGTCTCTCTCTGGTCTCTCTCTGGTCTCTTTCTGCTCTCTCTCTCTGCTCTCTCTGGTCTCTCTCTGGTCTCTTTCTGGTCTCTCTCTGGTCTCTCTCTGGTCTCTCTCTGGTCTCTTTCTGGTCTCTCTCTGGTCTCTCTCTGGACTCTCTCTGGTCTCTCTCTGGTCTCTCTCTGGTCTCCTTCTTGTCTCTTTCTGGTCTCTCTCTGGTCTCTTTCTGGTCTCTGTCTGGTCTCTGTCTGGTCTCTTTCTGGTCTCTGTCTGGTCTCTCTCTGGTCTCTCTCTGGTCTCTCTCTGGTCTCTCTCTGGTCTCTCTCTGGTCTCTCTCTGGTCTCTCTCTGGTCTCTTTCTGGTCTCTTTCTGGTCTCTCTCTGGTCTCTTTCTGGTCTCTTTCTGGTCTCTCTCTGGTCTCTCTCTGGTCTCTTTCTGGTCTCTTTCTGGTCTCTCTCTGGTCTCTCTCTGGTCTCTCCCTGGTCTCTTTCTGGTCTCTCTCTGGTCTCTCCCTGGTCTCTTTCTGGTCTCTCTCTGGTCTCTCTCTGGTCTCTCTCTGCTCTCTCTCTGGTCTCTCTCTGGTCTCTCTCTGGTCTCTCTCTCTGGACTCTCTCTGGTCTCTCTCTGGTCTCTCTCTGGTCTCTCTCTGGTCTCTTTCTGGTCTCTCTCTGCTCTCTTTCTGGTCTCTCTCTGGTCTCTCTCTGGTCTCTCTCTGGACTCTCTCTGGTCTCTCTCTGGTCTCTCTCTGGTCTCTCTCTGGTCTCTCTCTGGTGTCTCTCTGGTCTCTCTCTGGTCTCTCTCTGGTCTCTCTCTGGTCTCTCTCTCTGGACTCTTTCTGGTCTCTCTCTGGTCTCTCTCGCTGGTCTCTCTCTGCTCTCTCTCTGGTCTCTCTCTGGTCTCTCTCTGGTCTCTCTCTCTGGACTCTTTCTGGTCTCTCTCTGGTCTCTCTCTCTGGACTCTTTCTGGTCTCTCTCTGGTCTCTCTCTGGTCTCTCTCTCTGGTCTCTCTCTCTGGTCTCTCTCTCTGGTCTCTCTCTGGTCTCTCTCTGGTCTCTCTCTGGTCTCTCTCTGGTCTCTCTCTCTGGTCTCTGTCTGGTCTCTGTCTCTGGTCTCTCTCTGGTCTCTGTCTCTGGTCTCTGTCTGGTCTCTGTCTCTGGTCTCTCTCTGGTCTCTCTCTGGTCTCTGTCTCTGGTCTCTCTCTGGTCTCTGTCTCTGGTCTCTCTCTGGTCTCTGTCTGGTCTCTGTCTCTGGTCTCTCTCTGGTCTCTGTCTCTGGTCTCTCTCTGGTCTCTCTCTGGTCTCTCTCTGGTCTCTGTCTCTGGTCTCTCTCTGGTCTCTCTCTGGTCTCTCTCTGGTCTCTCTCTGGTCTTTCTCTCTGGTCTCTCTCTGGTCTCTCTCTGGTCTTTCTCTCTGGTCTCTCTCTGGTCTCTCTCTGGTCTCTCTCTGGTCTCTCTCTGGTCTCTCTCTCTGGTCTCTGTCTCTGGTCTCTCTCTGGTCTCTGTCTGGTCTCTGTCTCTGGTCTCTCTCTGGTCTCTCTCTCTGGTCTCTGTCTCTGGTCTCTCTCTGGTCTCTGTCTCTGGTCTCTCTCTGGTCTCTGTCTCTGGTCTCTCTCTGGTCTCTGTCTCTGGTCTCTCTCTGGTCTCTCTCTGGTCTCTCTCTGGTCTCTCTCTGGTCTCTCTCTGGTCTCTGTCTCTGGTCTCTCTCTGGTCTCTGTCTGGTCTCTGTCTCTGGTCTCTCTCTGGTCTCTCTCTGGTCTCTGTCTCTGGTCTCTCTCTGGTCTCTGTCTCTGGTCTCTCTCTGGTCTCTCTCTGGTCTCTCTCTGGTCTCTCTCTGGTCTCTGTCTGGTCTCTGTCTCTGGTCTCTCTCTGGTCTCTGTCTCTGGTCTCTCTCTGGTCTCTGTCTCTGGTCTCTCTCTGGTCTCTCTCTGGTCTCTGTCTCTGGTCTCTCTCTGGTCTCTCTCTGGTCTCTCTCTGGTCTCTCTCTGGTCTCTCTCTGGTCTCTCTCTGGTCTCTGTCTCTGGTCTCTCTCTGGTCTCTCTCTGGTCTCTCTCTGGTCTCTGTCTGGTCTCTGTCTCTGGTCTCTCTCTGGTCTCTGTCTCTGGTCTCTGTCTGGTCTCTGTCTCTGGTCTCTCTCTGGTCTCTCTCTGGTCTCTGTCTCTGGTCTCTCTCTGGTCTCTGTCTCTGGTCTCTCTCTGGTCTCTGTCTGGTCTCTGTCTCTGGTCTCTCTCTGGTCTCTGTCTCTGGTCTCTCTCTGGTCTCTCTCTGGTCTCTCTCTGGTCTCTCTCTGGTCTCTCTCTGGTCTCTCTCTGGTCTCTCTCTGGTCTCTCTCTGGTCTCTCTCTGGTCTCTCTCTGGTCTCTCTCTGGTCTCTCTAGTCTCTCTCTCTCTGGTCTCCCTCTGGTCTCTCTCTGGTCTCTCTCTGGTCTCTCTCTGGTCTCTCTCTGGTCTCTCTCTGGTCTCTCTCTGGTCTCTCTCTGGTCTCTCTCTGGTCTCTCTCTGGTCTCTCTCTGGTCTCTCTCTGGTCTCTCTCTGGTCTCTCTCTGGTCTCTCCATCCATCTTCTTCCTCTTAATCCATGTCTGGGTGGGGGGTGGCAGTCAGAGCACCAGCCTCTCACTGATCCTCCTGCAGGTGCTGAGTCCACAGGAGCTGAGATCTTTCAGGGCTTCAGGCAAAGTGGGGTTTAGTGTCTTGCCCAAGGACACAACAACAGCAGTCGTTGTGTCGCTCTTGTTTTGCACTGTATCAAACAAAAATCTACTTTTCTTCCTTTGTGTGATCCTTTTGCTGACTTTAATAATGTTTTGTAAGTTTCTTTGTAGATGAAATGTGTTGTTATTAGAACTGCAAGCAGCTAAAGTGTCGCTAATGTCGCTAATAAGAGTTCATTAGCCGCTAACGCTGCTCGCTCACCTGCACTTTTTCATATTTTTATACATTGTGTTATTACGTAAAAAAGCTTCTGTTTGTGATCGATAGTTTTTTACATGTGTTTGGAAAAATATGGATCTAGGATACCATGGATCTATAATACCATGGGTCTATGATACCATGGATCTATAATACCATGGGTCTATGATACCATGGATCTATAATACCATGGGTCTATGATACCATGGATCTATGATACCATGGGTCTATGATACCATGGGTCTATGATACCATGGGTCTATGATACCATGGATCTATGATACCATGGGTCTATGATACCATGGATCTATAATACCATGGGTCTATGATACCATGGATCTATGATACCATGGGTCTATGATACCATGGGTCTATGATACCATGGGTCTATGATACCATGGATCTATAATACCATGGGTCTATGATACCATGGGTCTATGATACCATGGGTCTATGATACCATGGATCTATAATACCATGGGTCTATGATACCATGGATCTATGATACCATGGGTCTATGATACCATGGGTCTATGATACCATGGGTCTATGATACCATGGGTCTATGATACCATGGGTCTATGATACCATGGGTCTATGATACCATGGGTCTATGATACCATGGATCTATGATACCATGGGTCTATGATACCATGGGTCTATGATACCATGGATCTATGATACCATGGGTCTATGATACCATGGATCTATGATACCATGGATCTATGATACCATGGGTCTATGATACCATGGGTCTATGATACCATGGGTCTATGATACCATGGATCTATGATACCATGGGTCTATGATACCATGGATCTATGATACCATGGATCTATAATACCATGGGTCTATGATAATAAGGTGATATAGTATTAGTTTATATCTGTCCCACCCTTGGGCCCAGAGGCCACTTATGGTCCTGCAGACTAAACTCACGTCACCCAGAAACATGTTAGAACTCAGCTGAGAACCTGACAGAGAACCTACAGAGAACCTGACAGAGAACCTGACAGAGAACCTGACTGAGAACCTGACTGAGAACCTGACAGAGAACCTACAGAGAACCTGACAGAGAACCTGACTGAGAACCTGACAGAGAACCTACAGAGAACCTGACAGAGAACCTGACTGAGAACCTGACTGAGAACCTGACTGAGAACCTGACTGAGAACCTGACTGAGAACCTGACTGAGAACCTATATTTTTCATAAAGGAGGATTCTGTGGATGTGTCTCTTATGAATCCAATTTAGTGAAACAAACTCAGCTCTGATTGGTCAGAACGCTGCCCTCTGATTGGTCAGAACGCTGCCCTCTGATTGGTCAGAATGCTGCCCTCTGATTGGTCAGAACGCTGCCCTCTGATTGGTCAGAACGCTGCCCTCTGATTGGTCAGAACG